ATTATAGAGGACAAGAATGTGATCAATTAGTCATGAAAGGGGAGTCCCAAGCAGAAATGGGGGGACAAGAAGCCCTTTCCTGGTCCCCAGAGCCATGCCTCCATCTCAGCTCCATCTCGGCACCCAGCAGATTGTCCCTGACGCAGCCCCAGCCGCAGCCTCCTGCATAGCCACCCCGGGACATGGTCAGCTGCCCGAGAAGGACAGGGATCGGTGCCCTGCCCTGGCCCCTGGCCTCCTGCCCAGGGCCCCACGGGCTGCGCTCAGATGTGTTTGTGCCTCATTGTAACTCAGCCCTGTATCGGGCTAGGACCAGGCCTCCTTCTAGAGACTCCCGCCTGCACCTCCCTCGGTCAGTGCCAGGGCTGGACAACTCTTCTCGCAGACACCCATCTCTTCCCTGGTCCCAGGCCTGGAGCCCGTGTGCTCTGAGCTCATTCCCTGCTATGGTATTTCTTTTTTTTTTGGCTGCGTTGGGTCTTAGTTGCGGCACGCGGGATCTTTGTTGTGGCATGAGGGCTCATTGCGGCATGCGGACTTCTTTCTAGTTGTGGCGTGCAGGCTCAGTAGTTGTGGCTCGTGGGCTCTGTAGTTGCAGCACGAGGGCTCCAGAGCACATGGGCCCTGTAGTTGTGCTGCATGGACTTTCTAGTTGTGGCCCGTGTGCTCAGTAGTTGCAGCATTTGGGTTTAGTTGCCCTGTGGCATGTGGGATCTTAGTTCCCTGACTAGGAATCGAACCCCCGTCCCCTGCATTGGAAGACGGATTCTTAACCGCTGGACCGCCAGGGAAGTCACCTTGCTGTAGTCTTGATGGGAATGGCCACATAACTGGAACCCATGCTGATCTCTAGGGACTGGACAGCCCGGAGGGCTGGGGCACCCCCAACATGTCCCAGGAGATGGTTGCTTCCCCCGGGCCGGCCCCTCTGTGTATGTCTCTGAGCCCAGTCCTCAGGGCAGCATCTCCACGTGGTAGCAACACATGACTTCATCCAAGGAGAATTCCTCCAGCTGCTGCCCTGGCTGCCTGGTCGTGTTCTGATGACCCGGTTTTCCTGATTCTTTGTCGGAACCCTCTGCTGCCACTCCCACCCCCACCCCATCCCGTCAGTCCGTAAGTCGCCAGGGTTGTCATTAACGGGGCATCCGCTAGAGCCAGCCTTCCAGGGGAAGGTCCCCCTTGTCCCCTTTCAGTGTCCTGCTTACTCACACAGTGAGATCCTTATACCAAGGACACTCCTCACACAAACGTGCCCTCACCCCTGGGACCACCAGCCAAGGAGCATTTAGCATGTAAACCTTAGTGCAGAAAAATCCTGGGGTTTAAAAAAGAAAAGCCATCACGCCACCATCGTCAGCTTCTTAAACTTTTGGTCTTTCTGTGTAGGATCAAAACCAAATGTGCATTTTTTTCAGAGGGGGCAGGGAGATCCATAGAAAATTCCCATCTTAGAGTTTCCTCCTCAGAAACTTAAAAAGAGAGCCGTTTCTTTGAAATGGCATATGGGGTGTGGTGTGTGTGTGTGTGTGTGTGTGTGTGTGTGTTCCCCCCATCATGCTGAAAGGACATGATTTACTTTGGATTTTTTTTTTTACTTAAAAAAAGAGGCCACAATGAAAACAGCGTGTGCACGGGTCCCATTCAGTACGTTTCTGGAAGGCCGGCCGCCTTGTTCTTTCCGTTCATCTTCGTTATGTTCCTTGGGTGCCGCTGCTGGCCTCTGGGTGGCGTGCTGTCTCGCAGAAGGTCCAGAGTGGGACCTCTGCCTCCTTGGCCTGCCCGATCGACTCTGGGCAGAGCATTCCCCGCTGAATGTTTCCATCAGGGCCGTGGGGGCCGGCAGGGGTCCATGCTGGTCTGAGAGGGTCCTGAGTCTTCAGATTAGCCAGCGCCACCCTTCATCCCTCAGTTTACCTGTGGTGCAAAGCTGGTCCCAGAGACGGTTGGCTTAGGTGATGGGGCCAGGGGCTGAGCGGATTCAGCAGGGCCGCTAGGTCAGTGAGTTGTGTAGACAGGACCATGAAGAGGAAACAGTACCCAGCACGTGCCCCCTGCCCCCCCCCCCCGCCCCGTGACCTGCTCAGGACCCCTCCTAAAGCCTCACTGAGTCACCAGCTGGGACAAGCATGGCTCTTCCCCGGGGAGCGGGTGACCTTTCACAAACAGCAGGATCTGGGAGGAAGGCGCTTGGAGCTCATCTAATCCCCGTTGTACGAAAGGATAATGTGAGACCCAGACAGGGGACAGAATGTCCCCGAAGTCCCAGGGCCGCCGGGTGGCAGGGCTCTCCTGGGATTCCTGGCTAACGCATGCCCGGCCTCCCTCAGCCTGACTCTATTCGTGCGGCCTTTTGAAAAGTTTCATCAGAGCACGTGACTCCCTACCCAGAACCCCCCGGGGGCCTCCCAAATCTCCCAGAAAACAATCCCGAAGTCTTTCCCAGAGCCTGCTGCCCTGGCTTATAGGACCTCCTAGCCCACCCCTCTGTTCCAGCCCAGGTGGCCTTGTGCTGAAATCACCAAGCTCTTCCCCCGACCAGGCTCTGGGCCTTCGCGTGGCCTCGCCCCACCAGGCTCTGGGCCTTTGGGCTGGCCTCCCCCTACCAGGCTC